AAAAAAAAAAAAAGGATTTTCTTACTTATTTCTGGACCTATTTGCGGTCAGATACGTCCAGGTCCTGTCCCAAATGCGGTCAGATACATGCAAGATAGTGCTAGTGTGAGTACACCCTTCGTGTGCTGTAGTCTTGAGTCTTGACCTCAAACTTGCACAATATGGTGAAGTAGCTGCTTTTGCTCAATTTGGCTCAGATGTGAAGTAAAAACAGGAAAAGAACAAGAAAAGAAGAATTTCAAAAGGACCTTCGTTCCATGATTATGGTCTCTTTGTACTTTTCTTTCCTTGTGTTTCCAGGGCAAAGTCAGCCTGAGGTTGAAGGTTTGACGCCTACCATCCCCTCAACTTTTGAGACACTATTGCTCAGATTGTGTTGTTGCCTTCGGGACTCTCCCGACATGAGCAAAACGAGAGTGAATCTTCCGCTAGAACGTGGAAAGATACACCGCCATGGTTTTTGTCTTTCGTGCATGTCGAGAGTAGTGGAGCGATGCCCAAAGCTTCAAATTTTCAGAAAAAAGAAGTGGCACAGGGATTACTCGGTTTGGAGCATAGGAAATCAATGGCCCAAAACGGAAGGAATCTAGGAAAGTTCCACGAAGCCCCTGCAGGGAGAGACATTGCAGCTGAGATCAACTTGTTGGTCGCACCTGGCCACATGGCACTACTGGGGGAATTGTTATCAATATCTTTCTTGTAGCATATGTATATATATGGGTTCAGCCTCCGGATGAGTAGGTCTACGAATCAAAATTACGTACGTTCAATGGGAGAAATGAGTGTATCCCAAGTGATCAGAAGAAAGGCACTAGAAAACAACACTCCATCACTTGTTTTTCGAAGTGATCGATTCGCGCGTTTTCATAAACCCAAGATTTGGGCGTCGTTAGACACTCCTCGGGGACGTGAAATCCCCAAGGAATTGTTCATTCCACCTATCCTCGGGGATGCAATCCGGAAAAAAAAAGTGAAAACACTTATAAGGAAATTCCTCGGGCATTAGGAATTTCCCCAGCCATTTCCTCCTTGTGCCCAAGGGACCTCGCTTGGGCACAAGGAATCCACGTTTCACGGAGAGGAGAGGGCACACGAGTAGATAGACGTTACAGCCGAGAATCTGGATCGTGGTGGCAGCCTATTGGCTGAAGTCCTGAAGCACAACTGTTTTTTTCTTTTTCTTTTCTTTTTTTTCCTGACATCAGTCTTAGGAAATATCCTCGGGCGATGGATGTCCCCGAGGACAGCTGGAACGAAGAGCCAAATTTCCTTTTGAGCCATTAGTAATCTTTCCTATTGCCCGAGGATTGCAATAGGAGTGTCTAACGACGCCCTTTATGTTTTACGTGAGCAACGCAGGCTTTTAGAGTCTGGACAAAGAAGAAAGAAAAATCAGAATGCGTGAATTCGTTCTATTTGGCATTTTACTATTCAGTGTGCTAAGTTCAAAACAAATTTTACTCGAAACAGTTTGTCACAGCCCCTCGTTTGTTGTCCTTTTCTCCCTTCTCCCTCTCTGCCTACGGTTTACCGGGCAGTTCTATTTGACGATATATATAATGACAAAGTAATTGCGGGTGGCCCAACTGGGTGTGAGTTTTTTTTTTTACTAGCCAGCGGGACTCAAACCGGGGTCGCTTTTAAAAAAAAGAACCGAATCTCTACCACCATGATAAAATAGCTGAACTTTGTTCTTTATAACGACGAGTAATGGTTTTTTTTTTTCTTTTTTCTTTCAAACCACCACTACCTCCGAGCCTGTTTTTGCCAACCCTGAATTTCACTGCGCATCGAGTTTTGCCGAGCCTGGGTCCCATTGTATTCTCGTTTCTTGTACTCTCACCTCCCCTGAGGATGACCTCAGTCCGGCGATGAGGTCGAAATCAGTCGGGAGGACGCCGTGTTATTTGCTGCCATGTGCTTCACTATGATTTTTAATGGGAGACCTATTGAGCGTTATGTGTCATCTCTCTCTCTCTCTCTCTCCCCCCCCTCTTTGCCTATTGGTAGTGAATCTGTGTGGAGGAAAAGACTAAGGAAGAGGTACCACGTGCATGGGTTGAGATCTTGGCATGCATGAACGTCTATTGCAGGGCTAGTCCCTAGCTGTGCTAAATGTCTTCACGACGCACTTCATGTCGACCGCACGTGAGAGTCTGCCAAAAGGCGTTACTGCCCTCAGCAAAACATGGCAATAGCAAAAAAAAAAAAAAAAAACCGGAAAAAAAGCAACAACTCTTTGGACATGAAAGCAGCTGGATACAGAACACTGGGCACAAGTGAGAATATGCCCTTCAACGGACTTTACAGTCCTGAGCAAACACCGCTGTATGAAAAAAAAAAGAGCAAAAACAGCAACAACTCTTTGGATGTAAAAGTAGCTGGATACAGAATCTTGAGTACATGTGAGAGTGCCCCGTTGGTTGCAAGTGTCAGCTGTCCATGGAAAATGCCCTGCCTTGTTGGCAGGGCACTGCGGTTCGCTTACCACCGCCGGGATGCAGGGCTTACACAGGGGCAAAAAAAAAAAAAAAAAAAAAAAAAAAAAAAAAGCTTAGAAGAAAAAAATAAAAACAACAGAAAAACAAAAAGTGAAACTATCGATGATTCTGGGCAGATGCATTCCTGGTGGCACTACTGTGAGCACACTTCCTTCCTTCGTGGCTTTCGCCAACGTCCTTCTTTTCAACTCGGCAGTTCCTGCTTTTCTTTTTTCTTTTTTTTTCTCCCCCCTCCGATCGGGCCCACAAGGACCAAATGTTTTGTTTTTGCCAACCCTCGCCCAGACCCCCAAACTTTGCAGTTGAGGTCATTTTCCCAAATGGGACTACAGCTTGGAAAGGTAGTGGTGGTTTAATGCTGTTCAATTCTTTCATCATGTCTAAAATTCTTTCAAAGTCACCTTCATTACCCACCTACCACTAAGTTTTTTTTTTGGGGTAACTTCAGTAGAGTCACAAAAAAGAGTTATGACTTAGGGTCTCGTTAGACACTCCTAAAAGTGCCTGTTTTGAGGATTGCGCCTTCGTTGCACGCAACCCTAAATCCATGGCTACGCCGGACCCGGACCCGGACATTTCCGGACATGGAACCGGACCCGTGTCCGGTAGTTTCCGGACGTCCGGAATTCCGGACATTTCCGGACCTCCGGACATGGGGGGATCCGGACGGTCCGGATGTCTGGACAGGTCCGGAAAATGTCCGGACCATTAAAAAAAAAAAAAAAAAATTGAAAAAAAAGTATGTTATGCAGAATAACAATGCAAACCACTTTTGCCTCAGAGTCATGTCAGAATTCCTAACCAATCTTGAGTTAAAAGTCAAAAACTATAAAAAGCTTAAAAAAAGACTTAAAAAAGTTAAAAAAATTAATAAAAGGTAATGAATTATTCATAATAAAAAACTTGGGGTTGTCTAATAAATTATTGTAGAGAGAGAGCATGTCCGGACCCCCCAAAAAAGCATAAACGGGCCTGAAAAACCCTCAAAACAATTTTGGGGGCTTGGTTCCTCAATGGGGAAGGGCCCTGGACCGTTTTTTTTTTTTTTTTTTTTTTTTTTTTTCCCTCGAAATTTGGCACATCCGGACCGTCTGGACCGGACGTCCGGATTCCGGACCAAATCCGGACCGTCTGGACGGCGGTCCGGACGTCCGGATCGTAGCCATGCCTAAATCCATTTTCGAGATCGAAAATGTGAAAACGGCGTTAGGACGAGTCCTAAAGGATTTAGGATTCCCCAGGCAAAATCGCCCTAAATTTTTCAGTAGCCCCCGACCTACTGAAAAATTTAGGATTCCCGCGTTTCACGGACTCGTTGCATCGCGCGCATGGCAACGTCGACACGGGTTTGCTGGTCCAGGAGCGGTCCGTCGGGTGGGTGGTCGGACATCGGAGGTTTTCTGCGGGTCGACTCCGGCAACGGCCACCAACGGTAGCCGTTGGCCGACGGGGTGGAGCGAGGGGGGGCCGAGCGTGGGCGGGCGGGCGTCCGTAGTGGACCGTTGGCTTGGTTGCGGGCAGCGGAGAACGACGACGACGTGCGAGGGACGACATACGAAGGTGCTTCCAGCAGTGTGCGGGCGGCAACGGTCGATTTTTGAATCGCAGGCAGGCACGTTTGTCGTCTTCTCTGGTGGTTGTCGGCATATGAAGGTCCACCGACCCTATACACCGGCATGTCAGAAGAAACTTCTGCAGTAGTCGCGTGGAAGTGTGCCTGCCTGCGATTCAATTGATGGCAGACATGCATAGGAAATTGCCTTTGCTGGTGCTCGCTGTGGTCGTCTTCCTGTTTGTCGTCTTCCTCCATGTGTGTTTGTCGTGCTGACCGTGGAAGCAACATCGCAAGCGGAGGGCGTCATCAAAACGGCAGGCAGGGGAACGTCCGATGGCGGGCATGCACGCATGCGCGGATGTGGCTGCAGGTCACAGCCGAAGACGACCTGCGATGGCGGGACAGGCAAGGCGGTACGACCCGACCATATATGCCCATCTAGATTTGTGGGAGACGCCACTGCCCCCGTCGGACGACGAGCCAGAGACAGACGAACTTCCGACGTTGCCTCTCGCCAGGGGGTCGACGCAACTGTTGTCGCAGACGGTACGAGCAGGCGGGGCGGCTAGCAACGACGGCGGCGAGTACACCTCACTCCTGCGCCAAGGCTTGGGGGACGACGACGACGGGGGACTTGATCTCAGGTTCCGGTTGTGTTCTGGCGGCGCTAGGGAGGTGAGTCGTACGTTCATCATCAACGCCGATCCTTCGCCACGTGGCCTTCAACATGCTGGAAGCGAGCATACAGAGCAATCCACACTTCGTGGAGGTGCGTCCGTTACTGGCGGTGTCGGGCCATCGCCAGCAGGCCGGCAACATGGATCGACTGCGCCGTCCGCCAATCAATTGACAAGTGGCTGGCCCGCACACACTCGAGTAGCAGCCAGGTCCCTGCGCATCGGCGGTGCACGTCCTTCGATGCCGAACCGCACAACGTCGACCGAACCCGACCTGAGGGACGACGGCGCCCGCACACCACCGATGCGTCCATGAGCAACTATGGAGAACATCACACGAGGAGTGTCCAACATGCGGGCACACAGCGATGGCGGCGATAACGATGGTGATGCCAGTGACGATGCAGACGAAGGATTCAAGGAGGACGTGGAAGCAGGGGACGACGACGACGACATTCCTATTCGGCCTTTGGGGAAGACGGGTGGGAGGGGGAAAGGACGCGGCAGAGGTGCTCTTCGTGGTCGATCCGTCGGCCGTGGCGGCAGAGGTGGCGCCAACGACGACGGCGGGAAGTCTGCAATGTACTACTGGTCTCCAGAAGAACAAATGGCCCTCGTGAGATGCAAGCGGGAGCAGGAGATGCACCTCGCCGGCCAAGGTCACAATTACGGGCGGATGCGCACGAAGGAGTGGAAGTGGGACGACATTGCGAAACGCATGGCGATTGCGGGGAGGCCTAAAGACGCCAACAACTGCATGAAGAAGTGGGACAATCTCTTTCAAAACTACAAGAAGATACAGAGGTTTCGGAATGCCAGCGGCCACTGAGATTTCTTCAGGCTATCAAATGAAGAAACGAAGGAGCACAACTTCAACTTCCGAATGGAAAGGGTGGTGTACAACGAGATCCATGCAGGCGTGCTAGGGAACCATACGATTTTCCCTCCCACCGTCGCCGACACCGGCAGTCCGGACGAGGTGCAGCTGCCCAGGCGAGGAGTGTTTGGTGGGGAGTCTGTTGGTAGCGAGGCCAGAGGTGATGGCTGCCCTGAAGAATGGTCTTCTGCGAAGGACTCCGAAAACAACGCAGGCACTGGGGCTGGATACGGGAAGCGGAAGAATGCTCGTCAACAGGCGTTGGAGTCGATCGATGATGTCATGGACCGCCATGGCGAGCTGATGTCGGCGACGATCGATTCGTCTAGCAAGCGGCAATGCAGCATATTCACGAGGCAATGCGACATACTCGAGTAAGAAGTTGCAGTCCAAAAAGCGCACTATGCGGCGTCCGAGGAGACGCAGAGGATGATGTGCCACGCGCTTATGGAGATCGCAGCCGCCATCCATGGTCGGTCGTCGATGTAGGCCGTTCGATCGTGCGTCCATTGAAGTTCAATCATTGCGTTCGTCATTGCCTTTATTTGATTTTTTTTTATTTTTTTTTATTTTTTTTGGTTCACGGATTCTCATGTCGAGGAGCATGGCGGTACACCGCACTGGCTGCGTGCGTGCGTGTGCGTGTGTGTGTGTGTGTGTGTGTGTGTGTGTGTGTGTGTTT